CTTTTAACATTTTAACATTTTACTTTTAACAGTGTGTAAAAATAACGTTTCGTTTTTAACATTGTAGACTTAACAGTGTACATTGCCTTCATTCTCTTTTTGCGTTAAGTTCATCAAAATCGCATATTTTTCCCCTGTTCCAGAGATCTCGGGGCCGACGAAGACGCAAACACCGGTGTTCTATGACGAAGAGGACGAGGCAGTGTTCGGTTCCGCGGAGATGGACAAGACGGAGAACAAGCCACTGGCGGTGGATAACACGGTCCACGGACATATGGGTTATCCGTCGCTCGTTACGCCGTCCTCCACGATTCGCATCGGCAAGAAACGACCGATCAACGTCAGCTCAAGCGCTGATCCTTATCCACGACGGCTCTTCGTTCTGGTATCACCGCTGTTGTCGCTTCTAATCGTTCGCCGAAGTTGGTGATGGTGAAACGAGAGAGAGAGAGAGAGAAAGAGAGAGAGAGAGAGAGCCGAGAAATGCCGAAGAACTTGGTCGAGGCAACCGTCATCAGTGCTCGCAATCACACTTTGCGAATCTCGTAACGCGAGCTTTCGCAACGGTATAATTCACTTTCGGAGAAGAAGCGTTGTTACATGCGATCGACACTCGATGACCATTGAATCGAAGTTGTTTGTACAGCAAGCTGCCGCGAAAAAAAAGAAAATAAAATAGATAGAATAGGTACTCGAGAAAAAATTCGGGTGCTATTCTTCAAACGTACTGTATTTTAATTTTGACTGATTAGTGCGAAGAAGACGCCCCCGGTAGTCCAAGTCCGCGCGAGGTAAAAGCCCGCAAGCTTTAATCTTCATTGGCTATTCAGCAGCTTGCTCGGCTCTACGCGGCAAAAACAACTTCGAATGGGCTTAAGTCGCCGCCGCCGACGACGACGTATCGTCTTCCCTGAGTGGCTTATTCGTAATTCGTAGACCTAATCAATGCATCGGAAGCTCGCGGAGGGGATGAACCAGATGGGGCCGAAGGACGTGCATCGAAGGGCATATATTGATCGTTATACTTGAATCGGTGAGTGCTTTTAGTTAATTATACATTTAGGAATCGGGTATAATTTCACTCGCTTCTATTTTCGATATTCTCATAAACTTTAAATGAAGCCCTAGATTTCTTTACCTCCAAAATTAAATCAGTGCACGAACCCATTACGGCACACGCAGGATATCGTTTTATTCGATCTCAGCAATAATTTAGAAGAATGAGATTGACAGCATCAATCGAGCTAAATAACAATTTCTTATCTATTTTGTTATGTTGAAAGTTGCGCGTTATATCAAATCAAATTACGAGTTCTTCATCAATTAAATCGAAACGTTATGAAAAAGAGAGAGAAAAAAAAACAACAAACGCAAAAGGTAGAGAAGAAGATAATGAAGCGACAAAGGCTGAAAATTGAGCAGACAGGTGAAGTGAACGAGTGAAGGAGAAGAACGTGTTCTCGAAGTGAAGATAAGCCTGGATAATATTCGCGCGGATCGAAGAGTCGGGTGTGTAACTTCTCAGTTTCGGCGGCAATAAATTTGCGTGATATGTACATATTTACTGTATCATATACAGGCACGCTCGCACGTGTATATGTGTGCATAAGTCAGGGTAAAACTAACACATTCGTGCCACTTTTCCCCAGCTCCCCGCTGCGCTCTCCAGTCGCGTGCGAGCGGCGTGGCGTTTCGTAGATAGCCCTTACGATTAACGCCGGTGTAATAAAATATGTATCGCGAGTTCAAACGAGTATTGAAAGCTTTAAAGGAGTTCGAGCCGGAAGTATAGCAAGAACGCCGGTGTCTCTCGCTCGTCTTTGCGGACGCATCCTCGATCTCGAAAGTCGGAACGAATCGATCACGGACGTGCGATCGTACCTGTCCTCTCTCCCGCAAAACTTTCTTTTCTTTCCCCACACAAGGTTACCGTTTACTCAAGGGAGTTTTTTACCGCACTCTCGGTTAGCAGTTCTCTCGATAGCAAAACTCTCCAGTCAACACGGAATTAAGTATGTCTTTGGAGAAACATTTAGTACGCTATCTTTTTGAATGCGATTTTCTTTATCAAAACGCTCCCCGATAACGGCAGAGTGGAGAATCGTTTTCGATGATTGTTCTCGATGATTGACTCGAGGATTTTGTTTTCGAGACTCGGATTCTCGATACTAGAATTTTCTTCCGGTTAAAATAAAATTGGGTGACATCCATCGGATATTTACTTGAAAACTTTAACAGCTACTGTCGTGAATTTAACAGAGATTGGAAAACAGCGATACCAAGATTCTATATTCTTGTGAGATACATTTTATATTTTGTAAAAGCGGAAACTAAAGAAAGGAAATCTGAAGAGTATTCATTTTTTCATAAAAAGAAAAGAATATTTATACAAACTGACGTTTTACGAGTAACGCAATTAAACAGTACAATTCCGAATATTATTTAAGTAAGTGAAATTAAGAATAAAAGTGTAGACTTAAAAAACGCTTTCAGTACGAGCTTAGCTCTCATTGTCTTTTATGTTAATCGATTTAACGGCAAAACAATAAACTCAATATTTTACATCTTTATCTGTCAAATTAAAGTAAGAAATGTAATATTGTATATTGCATATAACGGACCTGACATTTTCACGATGACAGCTGACTCTTTTAAATTTAGAATTTCGAAAAAAGGTATTAAAACTACAATATATGATGTTGAACTAATTTTACTTACAGCCAACGTAAAATGAAATTATCGATAAAAATATAAAAAATTACTTATTACACATATCATAAAATAAAATTGACATTTTTAATGAGAGGGCTCATTTTAAAATATGTAAGAGATTTAACAGGCGATGAAAATACTTAAAAGTCGTATATTGTGTCAGAATTACAAACTGTAATGAACTTACAGGAGCAATTCAATCAAAATATGATAAGTCAATAAAAAAAAATTTCACCGATCGCGCGTCCTACGATCATAGGAAATGTCTGATTACTCGGTTCCGATGTGAGCCAAAGGACTAATAAGTGTTCGATAAATCAGTGACGATCGTTTTCTGGCGCGAGTTACTTCGAGCGAGTATGCAGAGTTCACATGTGAAAGAAAGAAAATGTGAGAAACGGAGAATGTTTGGGTGAGAGAATGATACTAATTATATTTTTATATTTCCACCATAGCGTGCTTACGTTCCGTACCGATAGACTTTTAATTACTGTCAAAGCCTTGTCCAGCCATTCCAATCGTTGCTATCGTGACATTCGGTTTTCGCAGTAATTTCTCTAATTATACTTGATGCTGCAACAGCGAACGTCATGACGTAATAAGCGTTTGGCCGTTCCAATTCAGCTTACGAATCTCCATCCTATTTTCAGACGCAAATCCACAAAATGGATCTAACCCAAACCGTGGGAAGATAATAAAATCGATCGCGTCGATTCCCGCATCACTCGCTACGACAGTTTTGTATTCACTTGCTAAATAAATCGGGCGTCCCCGTGGGTGCTTGGGTTTGAAGTTTTATGGCAACTGAAATTGCGTCTCGTTACGCTTCGCGGTTCGTTTTCGGTACTCGCCGACAGCTCTCTCGCAGGAACGTCATACGTGCCCAATTTCCATTAAAATCGATTTTCGTGCGTTCTCAATCGATTTTTCCTTCATGATCGCTTCGTCCACACCTAATTGCTCTTAAATATCGAGTGAACTTTTTTTTTCCCCGTGATTTTTCACGTAATTTTTCACGAAGAGAGTTCATTCTTTCGCTATCCTACTTCACTTTAAAGTAAAGACTGTAACAAAGTTTCTATTATATATTGCAAATAGTTTCTAAGTAATATTGACGTTAAACAAAAAACAAAAAAAAGAGAGAGAAAAGTTTTAATGACAAAATGATTACAAAAAGTTAACGTTGTTCCAAAATACACGACAAAATGGAAACACTAAATGATATTTCGGAGAAACCATTATATTCTCGATATATTGTATATTGTACAATCACGTTTCTCTCCGCTGACACATCGTATCTGATAAATTTGTCGTTTGCAACGTTTTTCTGGGGTACTCTTCAATTAACCAATGGCCCATTTCGCATTCGATATAATATGCGAGGTGCCACATTCGTCACTGCAATCTACGTCGAAATGGCCAGTCGCAAAAAAAAACCCCCCAGTTCACGAAGCGTCCTCAAACGTCCTCGCGAGAGCCAATGAATGGTCGCTCTCTCGGTGACCGAAAAAAAACTCTCGAGAAAAAAAAATCGCAACGGGCTTTTTTCCCCGACGGGCCAAATCGCGCTCGTTTGCGACACGTCGCTGTAGCCTGTGAGGCCGCGAACGAGCGTGTTCCCTCTTATTTCGGCGAGAATCCTCGTTTCAGAACGATTATCATCTCTCTCTCTCTCTCTCTCACTTTCCCTCTTATCAACGACGCGAGAAAATGACGGAGGCGGGCCGCCTCTCTCAGTCACCGAGAAATTATAAGGGCGAATCCGCCTTTAGAGAGACTAGAAGAAGAAGATCTTAGTTAAACCATAAATAAACACAACTGCCCTTGCAGCTGGCGCGGACGTAATTCATCGTGAATTAATTTAAGGGCCACCGCCGCCTTCTTCCTCGCCGTTTCCTCACCGGCCCACTTTTCATTAAAAGGCCCGCCGTGCCGAGGCCGCCATTTGGCGGCTCTCGCTTTTATGCTGATTTTATTTCCCTTCTTTCGCGAACTCGGGCATCTACGGAGTAATTGTGCGGTATTATTATCCGCCGTGGGTCGGGGCGGTATGAACGACCGCGTGGCATACAGCCCATCCAACCAGGCAAGGGTTAAAGAAGATTTCGTAGCTCGCCGAAGAATTCTAGGTACCCAATTCCCTTCGTCTTCGTTCTCAAAGCCATCTCTCTCCCTTCATCATCCCTATCACCCCGTTGATATCGTCACAATTCTCGAAGACGTCGACGACTTCGTGCGACTTCCAAACGAGCGTATACCTGGTTCCGGTTGGACTATACCGCGTAGTCGGTTCTATAAAGTTACAACCGCATCTGCAGTTCCAACACCTCCTCGTGTTAGCCCCTCAAGCAGTCTCTCCGGCTAGAGTTACTCGTAGATTTCTGTCCCCCCTTCGGCCGTTCGCCTAATCTCCGTCGGTTACGCTTATTAAAGTCCCGAGAGGTACGACGTGTAAGCCCGTTGAGACGATATACACGGGAGACGCAGATAGTTACGTATGCGCGCTGTTGGTTTATCGTGTGCTCGCACTCTCGGTGCTTTTCGCTGTTTCGACGTGCTCCCAGACGAAGGGTACCGTTATAGTTTCAGAAGTGCGCACTTCAGCACGCCGACGAACGAGAACGATCAACGTAATTCCGCGACTAGCCGCGAAAGGATAAACGTCCTGTATACGCATATACGCGTAATATTTCCTCCGTTTTGCCTCTGATACGTAAA